GCTTCTCCTCTTTGTCACTGCTTTTGGCGCTGTTGTCCGTGTGGCTGTTGGGGTTGTTGCTGAGGTACATTTTGTCCATGGCCTTGAGGGCCTCGGTGAGATAGTTCTGCAGCGCGGTGACCGCGGCGCACACCGCCGGGCTGCCGAAGCCATGGGAGATGAGGTTGAAGTGAGTCAAGCAGCTCTGGATGCCGGGCTCCAGGATGGGGTTGGGCCGCGAGTTCCCCAGGGGAGATCGGTCCTGAGCCAGCAGGTCGGTGAACTCTTTGCATATCTGTCTGCAGCACAAGCAGAGCAGGGAGAGAGGGTGAGGCTCCCCTGTGCAGCAGACCTTTCTCCCTGCGGTGGCCCCCCCGCCCCCATCCAGCAGCACCTGGCAGGACCCAGAGTTCTCGTGGCCACAGGCTGGGATACCAGTCCCTCCCAGTGCCCACTAAACCACCTCTCCTTCCTTAAATGCACGGCCCCAGGGCCTGTGAAAACGTCTGCACCCCCCTCTGTTACCCACTACCAACTCTCAGATGCAACAAACTTCTATCCCCACCTTTCCCATACCAAACATGTCACACACAGAGTAAGAGAAGTTGGACCAGAAGTCAGAAATACTTCTGGGCTTCCTAGCCATAGGATACAGGCATCAGCCTTCCTTTGCCAAAAATTTTACAGACCCTCTTCCTTGTTTCTCTAGAGAGAACTCAGCAGCATTCTGTGGAATAAAGTTTCCACTATTTGCCTTCAAATCAAAGCAGGTTGAATTTGGACAGAGAAGCAAAACTTTGCTCAGGATTATTTTGCTTTAAAAAATAAGTTGGCACCAAAAAAAAAAAAAAAAAACCAAAACTGTTACTAGGTGATGATTCAAGGTAGTTTGGAGGAAAAAGGAACAGTTTCCCATTCCCCCTATTTCCATATACACCTTAAATTAAAATTCTTTAGGGAAATTGTAAATGTGGGTGTGCTTACAAAGCCATGGGAAGAGGAAAAGTTGAAATTTCAGAAATGGTCTTGAAAAGTCACAAATGTAGACAGAGGAGGCCAGTACAAAGAAGTTCTGCTCCTGAACCTGAAAGCAGGGACTAGCAGGGGCCTTCCTGAGGTAGGGCAACCTGGCCTGGGGGGCAGTAGGGGTGGGAAGGAGGAAGAACAAGCAGCATTGGCTGGCTGGCTTCACTGAGGCCAGTTGATGTCCCCAGGCCAGAAATCCTGTCCCACCCAAGGCTCAGCTTCTCCCCTCTGGTTCCTTGCCCTCCTCTGACATCGACTTTTGATAATTAAGGGCTTCCAAACAAGCCTTTTAATTTCCAGAAAACATATCAAAACAGTCATTTTCTTTTCACACACCACCTGGAGAAGTCTTTTCAGCCCAGGCACCAATGGGAATATAACTTAGGCCATTTTGAAACCTATTTGACATCTTGCCTGTAGGCTAAAACTTGTGTTTGTGTGTGTGTGTGTGTGTGTGTGTGTGTGTGTGAGAGAGAGAGAGAGAGAGAGAG